GAAGATGCAACGAATGGTAGAGCTTGACATCTGTCAAAAAACACACTGATCCAAAAATTGGAGGTTCATCTTGTTTGCCATCTACATGCCATTTTAGATGTGTCGCCCCCTCGTACGAACGCTATGATACAGGTACAATTGCGTCATCTGCCGCTCAAAGGCAAATGCTTCGAACGAATTTGATATCAAAGATTACATTCTCAGAAGAAGGGTTTGTGTATTTGGTCATTTTTCTATGCGTTGCTGCCACCTTCACTTAAGCGCAGCGCCATTGTATCTGTCGCTTGGATTCTGGAAAAGTTGCCAGTCTTCTTGATTTGTTGTCTTCGGTATAGTTGTACGACGATAGGAAAAGAAACAGTGTTCAGTTTACTCAGAAATTTAACGGCAAATTTGTATTTGACAGCCTGTCAACTATACGTTTCGGCGTTTGGAATGAAGAGGGCCACGATGAAACAGCGGATAGAGCGAAACGCATAACGAAAGGGAGTTATTGGGAGTGGATGAGCTACGATGAACAAGAGAGAAGGTCAGTGAGTTTGGAGCTATGGAACAAAGTGGGTCTGGTCAAGTTTGGATGGGGTTCAGAGACGTGAGGCACGTTGTTAGAGTTCACTTTTGGAAGGTGCCCGAGCAAAGTCGGATATCAAAATACTATCAAAATGATATCTAATTTTGTTTTTGAAATCATGTTGACAACATATTTTGATATGCTATTTATTTCATTTTGGTTGAATTCATATTTTGATATTGTTTTGATATTTCTAAAAATATTATTTAAAACAAAATTTGATATATTATAAAAAAAACGCATCCACACTTATCACTGAAATCTACATTTATTTTTATTTTTTCGTCTTACGAGTCAATCAGGTTTCTTTATGAACATCACAAAGACAATTATGTTTCATACAGTGTTGTTTTACAACATTTATTGATATTAATCTGCCTGTGAATTGAATTTACTAAGCGATATATATTTGATTGCGTCCAGTTCGTCTGTAATACTTAACTAATACATTGTTAAATATTGAAATTTTACTTTCGTAGACTTAGTGGGTTTCTTAGCTCATATTTAAATATGTTGTCATAAATTTTATTAATTATCAGATCTCTCCCAATAACATAAATATCGTCATTGTCTGTTAAAATATGTTCGATGCGAAGGAATTTATCAGTCATCGTAGACTAATTTTTCGTGTGTCCTATTCCTATATTGAATATAATTCCACTAGAATTTGTCATGGAAACGAAACTCTAAACTTAAAAACTTCACATCGTCTATTTCTATGCTATTGGATCTAATAAACTTCAATCGTTCGTCATATTTTAACTTTTGTATCTGTCTATAATGACAAAAGCGATTCATTATATACTTTCTTATAATATGTACCACTGGATGATTATTTCCAGTTCTGTACTTTAATATGGCACCTTTCGCACTTTATTGACAACATTATTTGATTTTGAATCTTGATATCAACCAAAAGATTTCAAAACATTCAGACTACTAAATTTGATATCATGATATCAAAATAATAACTAATTTGGTTTTTTTTTATTTTTTTTTGTTTTCCTACCATAGTTATAATAACATATTGATTACTTATTTTGTTTATTATTAACGAAATTACTAATATCAAAACGCATACATGGATTTGTTATCAAGAAAAACATAATTTGTTATCTTTTTAATATCCTTCATATACCATTTAGATCTCATTTTTGTTATGATTACTGTTAACTCGACCACACGGTAGGCAAAACATGTTATCACGAACGCTTATATCAAAATATCAAACTTAGATTTCATTTTGTTTTCATTCTTTGCTCCAGTAGTGTGTGAATAGCCTATAAGGTGGTGAGACGTCTTCATTTATCACGGCCACCGGCAAGTTGTGCCTTTTGGAGACCGAGATTTCAACCTCTGGGACAGCTAACGTCAGTCCACACTACTGCCACCAATAGCTTCGAGGATCGGTAGCTTGACATCGACAGTGGCTGCCCAGACAACCAGAAATCGTATAACAATGTACGGACAGTATCGTAAATTGCTACAGTTTAAGTCAAAATCGCATATAAGAATGTTATACTTCGCATTATGTTTAAGTTAAATTGTATATAATGCATATTTCTCATTTTTCCGTCGTACTGAATCACAAATTAAATCAGATTACATCGTAAAACTTTTCAAAATGAATTTGTTATTACAGATTAAATCGTATATGATGTTAAATCAACTCGTTTAAAATTATATTAAAATATGCACGTATATGGCCTCCACTTTTGTACGTATAAGCCATTTCTTTGCATTCTATACAAATTGTTTGTTTGTATATATGTTTGTATATCACGAAAACAACTTTGAATATACGTGCATTCTGGTTGTCTGGGTGGTTTCTATATTGCAGCAGTGTAAGTGTTTCACCTCCCGCCCGCCATTGGATCAATAAAACCATTAAATTAATGCCTAAATTAACCATTTTTGTCAAGCCTCTCCTAATTCCGAAAACTCTCCCTACCTCGCCAACGCTCGGAGACTCGGGAGCAAAAGAGGGCTTTGGTGCTCACCCCAACAAATGCCGACTGGCTTAGACTAGCAGTCAGGGATGTAGATACGTCCCCTTCTGGGACGGCGCAGAAGCTCCCGGGGTCAAACAAGTGTGAGTTTCAATATTAATAGAATTAACTAGACTCGTTGATCCAGACCCAGGAAGAAACTAGATTGATGGCCATTGGAACCTTTCGACTAAATATTGCTCGTTTGAATGTATCGTTCAAATTACAGATCTGGAAATGACTATCGTGTTTTAAGTATGATTACTTCATGGGGTAGTTTTCTCAGTCTTTTAGTAGAAACAAATTGTTTTTGTCGTTCCCGACGTTTTGACCGTTTGGTTTCGGCCTTTTTCAAGGGTTATAATGGAAAATCCACATGTATGCTATTCACGATGCGCAAAAGATTTTAACGGGAAACGATAGACATTAGAACCCTTGAGAAAGGCCAAACCCAAAAGGTTGAAACGTCGGGAACGTGAAAAAACAAATCGTTTCTACTAAAAGACTGAGAAAGCCACCCCATAAAGTAATTACAATCAACCAGCGTTATAAGTATAGTTTCCACCGAGGTTTGCCCCCTTTAGGATCTTGATCCTGTGATAATGACTACGGACATTTAAGCTGATGGGAGCTGAATCGTAACTTATGGTATCCTCCGAGCAGAGTCTCATAGTTTCCATAGCATAATGGCTGCAGACATGAAAAACATTCCCATGGATTTCACCCTACACGATGACTTTCTACTTGAAGCTCATAAAGGTCGCCAAGTTGGACAAGTTCAAAACAAAAAATCGGTTCTGAACCAAATTTGGAACGGTTATTAAAATTAACAATCATAACATTCAATTCACCTGATATTTTTCTCACAGACGCTTATTTTGAACATTGCCATGTGGAAATTATGGTCCTACAGGTTTCGTTTGAAGCGAATCTATTATTTCATCCTAAAGAAACCAATAGAGTTGGAATCATTTCGTTTGAAATCATAGAAAATGTACCCCCCTCCCATTCGTCACGTTGTTTCAATACCTAATGCATTGCTTGTCACATAAGTGTAAATCCCTCTCTCCACTAAGAGCATGACGTACTTAATGGATGCTCCCTTAGAGGCTTGAACTAGCTTCTAGAGCAGGTCATAGTTGGTCCAGAAAAGTAGTCCCAGCGCTTTTGCTGTAATAATTAGATGTTTGGTGTCGTTGATGAAGTTTTTAGTCTATGAATGTCCCTTCTTACTTCCTTTTAAACTTTTGGGGTAACCCTCATAATAATTGATGTAGAAAAAATATCTTTTTTTCAAATATAGACATGTGTTATTCTGCAAAGTTGTAGCTGAGTAAATTTCAAGAAATTTTGTAGAACACATTTATTTATCATAAAAATCTTATGTATTTTTATTTAAGTTAATTAGTTTTAGCCCTAAATCTGCCTAAAGCAATCGCAATCGATTCATCTTGTATCTTTTATCTATCTCTAATAAAGAGACTTTCGGGGACAGTTGAAATAATTATTTTCTTAAACTGGGGCAATATAAAGGCCTTACTGTGAAAAGCGAACTGCTACTATAGTTTTGGTCTAAAGACTCATTCAACCCAGTGACCGGTTCGATCTACTGGCATTCGGCCTAATGGACCATCATAAATATTCATTAGTAAACTGCGAAACTGTTTGGTAAAAGAATAAATATGTGAACATGTAAAAATTAGAAAATCTATGTAAAACATGCACAAGCTTTGCTCCATTTAATCATAAAAGAAATAAAATTTGATGATTTAAACGTAATATGACGTGTAACGGTAGTTCAAAAATTTTCCAACTTTTGCAGCAATTCAAAACCCCAGTATAATAATACTTACTCATGCAAAATAATCTTGATGTGTGTGATCCAGGCAGTGCTGCAAAATTTCGACACTAAAAAACTGATAATAACAAAACAACCCTGGTCATTCATTTCAGCAGAGAGTCACCATCAGTAGCAATCAATATCAATTGTCAGTGATATTACTATCAGTGACGACGATGTGCAGTTTTTTCATTTGCTGAATTACTATCGAAATCAAATTAATTTAGCAAAACAGTTACATAGAACCATCAAAGTGAATACGAATCATCATCATTATCAGCCTGGAGAACAATAATGTGACACAGAATGCGCAAATTCTCAGTTTTTTCACCAAGGGAATCTTTGTCACCGACAAAGAAAAGAGTGAGATTTTGACAAAGGAAATTTTGATTTTCAGTTCTATCAGAGTTGCTGCTGAAATGAATTTTGTCTATATCCACTGAAATTTTCTCAATGAAAATGACAAATCGCAGCACTGGATCCAGGAATTTGAACACACCTCCTTCTATGATCCCGACAGATAAAAGTACTCATGATTCGTGCATTTCCATATTCACTATCTTTCTGTTAAAATAATGAAATATTTCTCCGTCTATTCCAGATAAAAGCGCTTGATTCAACGAGAGCGGGTATGTTATTAATAAATGTTTAGTGAGGGACCATGGAGTTAGGGTGGCGAAATTCGGAAATTTGTATGGACAAAGAGATCGAGGTAGCCTGACTTTTCATCGAGCGAAGGCCCAAGCGCAATGTCAGCGGAAGCGGCACGGCAACGGCAGCAGAAAAAAACCCGATCTGAGTAAGCCTACTTGTCGGATTGAAGACTAGTTAGAACCAAATCGACTTCGGCTTGGCATCTTGATGTCATTTGTGACGACTGTCAAACTTTCCGCTGCCGCCCACATTGCGCTTGGGCCTTATGGGTTGACTTCAAATCTTCAAAAATTATTCAAAAGCACTTTGATAATCCGTGCAATGTACAGAATTTGTGAAAATTTTGTTATTTTTTTTAGAAGTTTGGTAAACTTTATAAAAAAGTTTAATTTGGTTTTGCAAAAAATATAAAATGTTTAGTTGAGCTCAATTGCGATTAGGATAAACACTCCTTTAGTTGCGATACGTTAGAAGCGTTAGGATAACTATTTTTTAATTGTGATAATGTTCTTCAAAATCTAGGGTAAATGTGCCAGTTTTCGGCTCAAGTGGGTCTCTAATTGGCTCTTTCTTAAATAACCAGTACGAGAAAGCATCCTGAAAAATGATTAGGTTAGATAACGCCTATTCATTTTTCTTGTTAACTATGGTGTTTGCACCATATCTGAGATATGACACAAACATCAAAACGGCCAGACTGCGTTGTATTTGCCGCAAAGGTGATTCGAGTTCAAATAAATATATTTAAACAGCGATGAATTTTGTGAATCTACATGATGATGATGATGATGATGATGATGATGATGATGATGATGATGATGGTCCCACCTCTTACCCCTACAAAGGTTTGAGCTGGACGATTTATCTTTAAGATAATTAAATATGACATTTTAACCAGGTTAGCAAACCAAATCGAACTGGTTACAGCTACAGACATAAATTCCCTATAGAGTATTAGTTGCTTCACAGCGATATAAATGTGGAAAAGCTCAGATGTTCACCTCTTAGTTTTCCTTTTTGTCCACCTAAAATATTCATAAGTATTACAAGCAGTCAAGAGTTAATGAACAATGAACAATTACTCTACACACTTAGAAAAAATCATGTAAACTTAGATGCTCTGAAAGTGACATATACGAACGTCAATTCTGACATAAATTTGAGTCATAACAGACGTGAATTATAGCTCAATCAAGCGTAATTTTCGTCGAGCAAAGAACTTTTCAGTCTGGGAGCACTTAATATTACCTGACATGTTTGTTTACGTATTATCTTTTATGTCAAAAAATGGATTCCGTCACGTGTAAAATTAGTTATTTCTAAGTGTGTAGCAACCCCGCAATCTGATGCTATCATAATTTTCAGCAATGTCAGGAATGCTCACGAATCCCCAACATTTGCCAGAAAACTTACTACTAACTCAAGGTATCTTCCAAATAAGCTTCAAAATTGCATTTTTTTTATCAAATGTTAAATTCAGTCCTCTATATCCGTAATACGCGCGCGAGGCTCAAACCTTTGTAGACTACTTTTTTTTTTTAAATTAATCTACTATAAAATCATCTATTAAAAATCCATCATCACCATTCGCCACGAAACAGAAATAGTTTTTGCAGTGCTACAATAATTATTAAAAAGTCGTTATGACAGCTATCCATATAAAATAATCCGTTAGAGATAACTTCGTTAAGGTACATAATTTGTCAATTCATAAAAAAATCACTGGATAACTGTTCAAAAGACAGTTTTAACGTGTGAAATGCAGTGTCTTTTAAATTCTGTAAGTGTTGCTGAAGGTTTGATATGTCTAGGCATCGAATTGAAAACATTTATTCCTTTATAATATAATGAATTTTGTGAAGCACAAGTCAAGAAATGTGGTGTTCTTATTTCAACCGCGTTTCTAGTATTATATCTATGAAAGTCACTTCCTCTTTCAATTCGATCACACAAATATCGAAGCAGCAAACCGTTAACTTCTTTAAAAATGAACACCATAGTCGAATATACAATTCTTTGCTTCACCGACAACCATTGTAAGTCGTCTAGCATCAAAGTTGAGGAAGTGAATCTATTACATCTCAAAATCAAACGCATTATTTTATTCTGCAAGCGCTGTAATCTCGATATTTGTGTTGCATTGGCCAGAAATAAAATAGAAGGGCAAAAGTCAAGATGAGGAGAGATGATTGATTTGTATAGCTGTATTTTACTGGCAATAGTTAAATCGTTTTTCAGTCGACATAGAATTTCACACTGCTTGGCAATTTTCTTGATGACATTGTCAATGTGAGCGTTGAACTTAACTTTGCCACCACGTAATCACGCCAAGATATTTAATCTCCCGAACGCGATCAATAGTCTCATCATCAATTCCAACGGAGACGTTCTTATTTACTCGATTCCGTGAAATTACCATACATTTAGTTTTACTTGTATTCAATTTCAACTGCTTATACTTCAACCATCTACTTAGAGAACGCAAATCTTCATTCAAGTGTAAAACGGTATCATATAAATAATTTTCCTGAGTAGCACACTTACCACAATTCGGTTGAGGTAACTTTTATATGACTGAATTTAGTCATAATTAAGTTGCTGTAACTATTTATGATGGATGTGTGCTACTTGGGTTAGCTGCAATGAATAACACAGTATCATCTGCAAAAAGAAAAGTCTTGCAAAATCGTAAAACACGTTGCACGTCATTAATATACATAATAAACAACAGGGGCCTTAATACACTTCCCTGGGGCACTCCAAGGTTATTCCCCCACGCGACTGGAAACAGAATCATTAAAAACAGTCCGTTGAGTTCTGTCGGACAAATAGCTTTCAAACCATTTATATGCAGTACTCGTTATTCAAAAGCGCTTGGTTGATCTTAACAATAAGAGCCTAGACATTGTTCCAATAGCTCGTGTTAGATCCAAAAAAACAGCAAAAATCATATCTTTACACTCTAAGTTATGTTTTCACTTCGCTAATATCAAATTCAACGCGGTTTCACAAGAAAGACCTTTCCGATATCCCGGTAAGGTAAGGTATCAACAAACTATTACTATTTAAATACTCCAACAGCTGGCCTTTAACAAGTTCTAAAGTATTTTCTCTAATATGTGCAACATGTTGATAGGACGAAATTTTTCGGCTTTAATCGTTCCAGCAACCTTTTGAATAGGAACCACTAAGGATTTCTTCCAAATTTGTGGCACATGTCCAGTTTGCAATAATTCATTAATAAGGTCCAGCAAGATGTGTGCGAAAGCAATCTTGAATAACTCTAGTATTAACTTTATCAATTCCAGCCGATTTTCCTAATGAACGGCAAATAACTCTAAGTTTATTTAATGTTATTGGGTGAAAGCCTTCAAACCTACACCTACTATTAACTAGCTGTTTTATTTCGTCAGGTTCATGGACTAATTCAATCGACTGATTTGCCATTAAAAGTTATGGACCACGATTTGCAATTACTAGGTTTTAATAAAGATTTCAAAATTTTCCTTAACTCTTTGCTGTTGTGTTGATGCTGATCCATCTTCTTTTGAACGTATTCACAACGAGTTTTCTTTATCGTCTTTATACTTCAATGATTGTCATTAATTTGATCTACAAAACTTTTTGTAAAATTTGTCCCTTTTCCGTTTAGGACGCAAGAGATCCAAATTGTACCAGCTGTTCACGTTTTTCAAAGAAACAACCTTTTGCTCAACTAGTTGATTGGCTTCGGAGGGGAAGTTAAGCCGTTGGTCCCCGGTTCATGAGTTGATGGGTCGATAGGCTGGGTCCAGGTGTGGGAGCTGCCTTCCTGGCGTTGGTAGCATTGGTGCTCAGCACGGAAAATAATATCGACGGAAAACAAATCCAAGGAAAAAAAAAGTTGATTGGTTTACGCATAGTGAAAGCACACACACGTTCATTGACTGGCTGCCAGGAATTGTGGCTATAATTAATAGTTTGGCAGTCCAAGAATATCAGAGCATCCATACCTTTTCCGAACAATAAGGGGCTTGGCGACTATAAATATGTAGAACACACGGACAGAGTACGATCCGACATTGACACATTTTTTTCACGGCACACGGTCTCTTTTGTTTCACTCTAGAGGAGTCGTAATTGAATATTTGTCTATCACCAATTAAAACTGTTTATTTGCACAGAAGCTTAAGCCAAAACTATCGAAAATAAATTGGGTCAAAAAACTGGAGCACTAGTGCCAAAACTGACACACTTACCCTATGTCTAGTTTTGACAACAACAATTCAAAGTTCATGAAAATTGTCAATTAGTTCTTGCCAAATTACCTTCGCATTTTCATTTTTTTATAAAATTTGTATAAAACATTTTTTTTTCAAAGCTTTAGTATTTTACTTGAAACTGGAACCTACTTCGAATTTTTATGTTTTCAATGTCAATGCCAAAGTTTGTAACCGTGTTTTTTTTTTGACGCATTTGATGATTTTTATATGGGGGTACACTTTGTTAAAACCGAAAATGGAAAATGTTACAAAATTATGAAAGATTTTGATCGTTCATAGCTCAGCTTTCCCTGGACTAATATCAATAATTTATCACCAATCGATTAGAAATATTCTTACGCATCTGTTAAATGTAAGGCTTTATCATTTTTTTTAAATGTCGCTATTTAAAAATGCACATATGTGCAACTATTGCTATAATAATAAAAAAAAGCGCAAAAAGCGATTTCCCTAAAACAGATTTTAAAGTTGAATTGCATCCGGTCCAGCGGTCTCACCGCGTGGTGAGTGGTGGTGTTCTCCAGTACACAACGAAAGGCTCCCCGCAAGCAGCTAGCGATCAAGGCTAACCTCACTCAAGTAGCACATAAAACATCTATCTGAAAAAGAATTAGATCGACTGGTTGTATAAATGTGTTATAAGTGATGCAGAAAACATCCCATGTTTAATATGAGGCTTAAAGATGTTTTCTTCATACTTCCTAGAAATCAAC